TTGGTGCAAATGCGTTGAATGCGTAATATCTTGCTCATCAAGCATTCACAATATTATTTCAAAAAACCCTATAAGTACAAAAGTATTGAAACCAAAGGTATTTCTTGTCGTCATTCCATACCTATCGAAAGTACTGCTCTCCAGTGGACAGGTGTAATGGCGCAATTGTCAATCGATGTCCCAGAATACCTTGAACACGAACTCTTGGGTTTCCAGAGCCTCAAAATGTGAATGCTTGTAGCCTTAATTTTGGGCATGAAAGAGGCAGCTCATTTAATTAATTTAACTATTTCATTTCTACCTCCGTACTCCATCATATTTTCACACTCTATTCATGACATGCTATTCCGTACTCTTTTCTTGGTCAAATGACGCAGAAAATGATTCCTTTGTCGTGTACCCTCAGCCATTCATTTCTCACGTCTAAGTAAAAAAGCAAATGAACCACGCGCTTCCTTTTATGTTTGCTAATTTTCATGGAAATTCATAAGCAATCAGTCTCAACCGTCCCTTGGATAAATACACTGATCAAGGAGACTGATGGTGCATGCTTAGACACATTATGCTTTTCACCAGCTAGTTCTTATGACGTTGTCACTTTCCACTTGGAAATTATGTCTAATGAGATAACATTATTCTGATTACCTTCGGTAACAATGTTAACACCCGCAAATAGCTTCTCATCAAGCAACGCTAAAATCATAAAGGCAAGGGAAGGAATGCGAATAAAGCAGTAAGGCTGGAGCTTTGACAGCTACGTGATATCAATCGACATTTTTTAGTCGCAAAATCATTCAATTTCTACCAAACTTCGATTGCACTGAATTACTAAAACCTCTCCTGGCTTATCTTGTTTGCAGTTCCCGACGCAGTGGCGCTCGGCAAAACGCACCGGCTGAGTTTCGGATGCGCCACATTGCAATGGCTGTCGTGGACCAGGGAGCATCGCTCGACACTTTTACGTAGATGTACGGACCGTTCACAACGAAGAAGGACCACTTGATTCTTATCAATTCAGCCCAACGTCAACACACTTCATCACCATTGCTGGCGATCCTTACATTAATAAGCGGGCGATATTTGCATTATTCTTGCAAGGTTTGGTCGATATAAGTCATGTTTGCCGCATGCTCAAGCAGCACAAAACGATTTCGGGCACCCTGCCATCCATCCGCCATTTTCCGTCTCTGGGAAATCATTGGTTTGGCAGATATCGAAAGAGACAGCGCTCCCTGGCACAGCCACGTCTGACGCATATCTGTGTTGTCGTGCGCATGGACCGAGCCCAGCCAAGCTGGAGGCCATGGCTGTGGTCTGAGAGCCGACGCGGCCGTGAGCGCCTGCGGCGGGACGGACCTTGATGCTGGGGCCACCCATCTTGCCCTCAGAGCCGTACGGCGTGTCGATGTCGGTCCCCAGCCGGTGCAGCCATCCGGTCGGCTTTGGCAGCTCGGCGAAGCCTATAGCGTACCTACGGACCGGGCCGAGTCGTCAGTGCCAAACAGCAGGGTGTCACGCCGGCCGAGCAGGCCCAATGGGCGCACTAAAAATCAGCTGGTGAACAGCAAAGGGCCCCAACAGGTCAGAAGGAGCGCAGATGCTACCAGGGCCCATGGCCATAACCCAAAAAGGAGGCAAGGTGGAAGGAGGCAGCATGGAGCGGGCAAGCTAGTGGATCGAGGACAACTCAAGAAACGCATCCAAGGCTGTTGGAAAGAGTGCAGTCACAGACACTCTACTCAACTCAGTGAAGGCCACCTGATGGATCACGAACGCAGCTCAACAGGCGCCGACGCGGCGGTCGACAGACAGCGCAGCTCACCAGATGCATGCGAGCCAGTGGGCGACCAGAGCGAACGTGGCCATGAGCAGGAGCAGGAAGCCGGCGCCGTACTCGGAGTAGCGGTCGATCTTCCTGGCGACGCGTACCAGCCGCAGGAGGCGCGCCGTCTTCAGCAGGCCGATCAGCGTGGTCGTCTGTAACCGGACAGCGCGCGGCCCGGAGCCCGCCGGTGAAGCCACCCCCGGCAGCAGCACGGCAGCCGGCGAGGCCTGTCCCCTACACCGGCCGGCGTCACACCGCCCGCGGCATCGATCAGTGTGTAACGCTGCCTGGAGCACTGGATAGCGCAACGTTGCCTCACATGGGCTGCAGTGAGGAAGGCCACTGCTGCACTGATCAGGTGCGGCAGTCGGTGTGGCGCTGGCCAAGGGCTTAATGTTTCATCAGCCGGCGACGTTCATTGCAGCCAGCACGGCCAGCACAGGGCTGACAGGAACACTCACTGCAGCGAGTCTTATGCGGTCCGGAGGGCCGCGGTCAGTCTGACACACATCGGAATACTGATCATGTAACACCGACCCAAACAAGCGGCCAGTAGACTCTGACCAGGAACAAGAGGGTGGTGAGACTGCATGCTCTGAGTTGAACAGCGGCAGCACGCCTGTCCAGCTCTGTTTGATGTCGAAAATATGACATGTATCAGCTAGGGCGCCGAGCCAGCAGTTTTTGCTCTCTTCCACGACCGAATAACATTGCCATGTTCCGCAGGTGATGCATAATGAAAAGTCGCGTCAGCATAACACTATACTCCTCAGCTTGGTGCTGGGTCCTGGATGGACTAATTTGACATGTCTATGCCAGTGCATACAATAAAACAATGGTTCATGCCAGCCGTGAAATAGATTACAACCAACCGGTGGCCGCCTGGCAAACAAGATATGGAGCTCTGGCAAAGAAAAGCAAACAGATTTGCTCATGACAGCCGCAGAGCTAATAAAAATGCTGCAGCCCGCTGCAAAGAATAACATAACGACGAGTGATCTGTGGCTGATCGCGGTGCCGGGTGCGGCGACGCAGAATGCTGGTCAAACATCTTCTCAGCACTGCTGGGAAGACCCCTGAGCCTTGGCCAAGGTGATGCAACCGTAAGTTTACGCGGCAAAGCTGATAGCAAATTTGATCTGTGCTGACTGGGGAGCAGCCATTAACGAATGACAACATACCTTTATGACATGATGCTTGTGTGTTAAACTCAGCAGTCGTAGATGGGTGTCCGGTGTGCATTTTTATACAACCAAATAAGTGAAATGTCAAAACGACCTACAAGGCTGCTTACGGGATTGCACTGATAGGCAAAACAATCAACAGGAATTTATATGATTAAGTGAGTTACCCAACATGCCGGATAGCCATATGGCCATGGAACTTGTGGTTACCAACGTTTTAGTTTTGATTCAGGTATTATCACCTAATAACTCTGGCTATTCCAATGCCTTACTACGCTAAACTTCAACCATTTAATTACATTACCAAACTTTCTAGAACGACAAGGGCGACCAAATACTTCAAACACCACTAATTAACTGTGATCTATACAGCATAGGATTTACACGCACCGTTTCGTACACGGATGCTCGGTAACTTTTATCTATCGATACTTCGGAACAACAAAACGAAATGCACTCACTTCATCCTATGGCAGGTCATGCAAAAGTGGTTAAAATGAGGAGAATGAAGTCATGTTTGTGTTCAAGATATAGCATAGAAATGGAAACCAACACCACACGGCCTATTTACAAATTCCGCTGTCACAAATTGAATGCTTATCTTGTCTTTTTACGGGACGTAACGAAATCAATTCAATATCAAGTTTATTTCTTTGGGGCATTAGGCCTTTGAGGAAAATTGTGCGTCAAATAAAACTATTTTTCATATATGCGGACCTGGGCCAAGTTAGTCACCTTCATACAGCCATCTTTATTGGCTTATGATCACTATCATCAGCGCTACGTAACGTTTGGAAATTGTTTGTGCACAACTTGCGAAAACAATAATTATCACAACTTGCGAAAAACAATAATTATGAGTGAAGCCATAGGTCGAGTTGGCATCATGTGATGACCCGGACAATCTGCAGATAAGCGACCCGGCTCGGCCAGACCGTCACGTTTTCTAAGGCTTGGTACATTCGCAGCAAATGACTGTAGTTTTGCGCAATTTTCTGCAAGAGTAAGTGCAAACCGATGAAAGTAGTGCTGTGAAATGTTTGGGGGTTCGCATGCAAGCTGTCTGATCATGCCTGAATTTTCTGCAATATTACAATGCAAACAAGATACAGCTTTCCTCATTCGAGTAGCATTGCAAGCCTACAAATAAGCTTTTCGCAGAAAAGTGCGCCGTGTAGGTCAAAGCCTAGCTTGAGCCTTTGCGACCCAGCATCGCCGCTGGACGAGAGCAGCATTACTTCACGGAGAAGGGGGGCGGCAATCGTACTGGCGAGAACACGAGTCGACGCCGGCAGCCGGGCACGTGTTCTCGAACGCGAACCATGGATCCACTGTCTTGGGTTATTTCCAGGGCTGATTCAGATCTTGACAACCAGAGCATATAAATGGACATGAAACTAACTACATGACGTAAGTAAACAGCACCCAGGGATAAGAGGCCCGACAGTATCGAAACCAGAGCGACGACCTTAATAAACCCTGTTGTGGAAATTGTCGATTGCTTTTCTATTTAGCTCCGAATGCTGGTCTGGTCCAGAATGCAGGTACAACGGTTTTGAATATTTGGATATGGTTTGAACAACGAGATATTGATCTGCGAAAGCTACACAGGCGTAAACCTCAACCTACGGCGGCCAACATCTATTTAAACCATTAGCATCTATTAGGTGTTGGCCTCAGTCGGCCCCAGTTGAACCTTCACTGACGTTGACCCCAGTCACCGACGACGCAATCATTCCAGGTTACTCGATTTCGTCGACAGAATTGGGCAGATCTAGTCCAGTCAACAGCAACGAATCACAAAACCATGTAATTTGTGAGCTATCTTGCGGACCCCTCACGGCGAAACCCGACGCCTGCTACTTTTATGAAATGACGGATGGTTGGAAACACTGATCCGAGCCTGTGGTACGCATTTGCATACTGTTTTCACTCGTATTGGAATAATTTTAATGACGTTAAGAAACATTTGCCTCCACCTCGCTTAATCACTCCAGGCGTCTTACTGATAACAAGCCAGCAAAACAAGAACGGTAGCAATAGTCTCCGCGTGACCTTGCCGACGCAAGAGCTTGCATGTTCATTACAGCCTTGACTTCGGGCTGGCTGCCATTAGAACTGTACGGACGGCATCGAGCAACTGATCGGCCCTAAACCAGATTTTAAGCTGCATCGGACATTATGAATGCTTCATCACTGAAAATAGTAATGCTCGGTGTGAGCTAGGCTAAACAGAGTCATTAGGATCGAACTTATTGCTGAAAATCTCGGCTGCATGTAAAGCACAGTTGACAGATTATCAAGGCGCGAGAATGAACTTCCAACAAGCGTAAGCATGTCAATGTCGAACGCCAGTATCGAAAAAAGTTTTTATAGATGCCAAACTGGGAGAGTACGGGCGCAGTTTTCCAGGCGCTACCTACCAATTATCTACACGACATCTGTTGGTGCTAAACGGAGGATTTAAACGCGTGCCAACCATATAATTTCTATGTCCTGGCCGAAAAGAGCTCAAGCTTAAGATCTACACTGAAAACGTGTGATTTGGCAAGTTCAAACATTGTTCGTCTGTCCGTATTGACTCTGTGAAGATTTGAGTGCAATTTTTTAAGCAAGTAGCAATTGGGTGCGGGTGATATAACCCAGGACGTGGGGGTTAAACGGATCTAATCATCGCAGTTCGGTTTGAAATATATTATCGGTCGACCAAACACACGCGGCCCAGGCGTCCTGTCTAGCCTCTATTAAGCATAGCTGGGTGTGAGCCAGAGAGGTAGGTGTGGGTGGGGGTGGGGGTGGGGGTGGGGGTGGGGTGGCTGGTGGAAGTGGGGGACGGGGTCGTCGGGCCACGGGCAGGCACGGGAGGCCGGCCCTCCGACCCCGCCGTCTGCACCGCCTGGTGCACTGGCAATGTATTGTTGCAGTGGTGGGCACGCCGGCTCGACCAGGTACCACAACAGAAACAAACACGGGCAAGCCCAAACCAAGCTGGCAAATCAGAATGCTTACTCACAGACTGCGTTTAAGCAAGATAAAACCGACAGCGCGCATTTCACCGGTGGGCGAAACGGGCCATGGAAGAAAGAAAGGGAGAGAGAACGACGTTAGAGTAATACGCCTGAGTCTGTGAAAAGCAAAAGGCATCATGACACACATACACACAGACGTACGTACTAATATATGATCGTTCTTTCCTAGGCTAATTGATCAAGGCGTCGGCTGCGGGTGGTAACACAGCTTCGCTGGTTAACGTCCGAACCCAGCGCCGATAGAACAACGTCAAATAAATGTATCAGTCTCGAAGGGTTCATAACAAGCGTACAGAACGTTGACAGATGAACAGTGCTGGCTAACTGTTGGTTTTACGACTGCAGACAATTGGACTGTTTCCCGAAGCGTGCATGGGTCAAAAAGCATCTTTATCCGGGATAAGCAGGGGCATACTAGTGACCGATCTGGCAACAGCAAGAACAAATATTTATCGGTCACATCAAAGGGCCACTGAGAGCGTCTAAGAGACCGAGAGCCCAGACGACACAAGCCAACAGACACCGCGGAGATGAAGACAGACCTCAACTCTACAAATTTGCCACACTGATACACACTATCACATCGGCCGGCAGAGAGCAGTGAGGTACAGACAAACAGCACAAGCCGCAGGGCCCGTCGGGTTCCAGGCACCAGTTGCCAACGGACCTACGTCTCACAAGGGCGCCGGTCTGAGGCGAAGGCATGCGGAAGAGGGCCGGTGCCGACGCGCGCGTGGCAGCGCGGCCACGCTCACCTCATCGGTGTCCGAGCCGAACAAGAGCAGGTCGAACGGAATGGCCGCGACCACGTCGATGATGAACCAGCCCTTGAAGTAGTGCACGGCTATTTTGCCCGGGTGAGATACTACCTCGTCGTTTTTATTGACGTACGTCGTCCGAAAGTTGATTAAGATGTCTATGATGAACATGATATCCACTGAAAATGATAAGAAAAGTAGCTTATGAGGTCATTCAATACATGAAGCCCTTTGGTTACAATCACCTTAAACAACAATGGGAAACATGTTCATATTTATGCCCGCATACCGTTGCTTATGCCACGAACGTAATGCCGGCCAGATACCAACCTCTTGCCTTAGCTGTATTTACTCAAAGCAGGGGAGACTTCCTCCTAATTGATGTTTAAACCATAGGGGTTGAGAATCTAAAAACATCCAGGCCAGCAATGTGCATGTAATACATTTCACCGGCCACAATGCTTCAGAGCCGGGTGTGCATTTTGCTCTGCGAGCGAATTTCCTAAATGAGTTCGAGGCATTCATTTTATACCGCCATTTTGTTTTATTTATGATTGGTTTTGCACCATGTCACTCGTCGCAGCTTATTTCTCCCAATTATGTGTTGCTACATTTGCAATATGTTATGTCTTGATTGCCTCAAAAAACAGAATTGACCAGAAAAGCAATTCAGATCCAATTCTGCCCTTTCCACCTCCTGTACATGTTTCATATTGGCCACATCACACCTGTACATGTTTCATATTGGCCACATCACAGCAGACCACTTGCCCTCTAAAAAGCGACGTTCTGATGGAACGAAGCAAGAACAGTAAACCTAAATCTTTCCGAAGCGGTTCAAGTGTTTTACACAACTCACCATTTGGGCAGCTTGCGCAGCACGGGTTGGGCTATGCGGAAGGCACAACACATCACCTTCGCCTCCCCGCTCTTAGTTTGTCAGCAACACTGTCAGGTCAAACACAACTGAAGCTGCTTTTCAAGATGAGCCCAGATGAATCGCATGATATGGAGTCAACTGAACTGAAATGTTGTCACATACTGAGCATGGCGTGTTGCAACATGCACACCTTGGACATTGGTTGGAAACAGCGACAAACCAAATGTGCGATAGTGGACTTGGTAAATATTATTTCACATCAAAAATGTGTTTGCCGGTGTTTTTTCTAGCACGTGATAGTACACCGAAGAGGAAATTGGCCACTGGCGCAATCTTTTTATGATTCAATTTTCAAATAACCAAGCAATCGTTTTGTGTACGACACGGAAGGCAACAATAATTGTTTGGAGCATTTATTGCGTTGTTTTTCATTCGAAGCTTTTACGAAAGAAGTGCTGATAACGTCAACGGAAATACACATTTCGCCTGGCGATGTTCCGACAGCATTCCGGCAACAGTAATTATATTCCGCAACCTCCCGTCGGGTGCACTAATGAGCTATGCATTCACGGTAAACACGAAGAACGCGGTTGCGAATCACTTCTTACACACACATTCGTTTGCGCAGACTTCGGATGACGACCGTATGTACAGATGACTACAAAGGGGCTCATATCTCTTGTCAAGTGTAAACAGTTCTTATTCGAATTGAAGGGCATGCTATGAGATGTAAAGCGGTCATAATGTGGTAGACAGTCTGTCCAGCATTGGTAAGAAGGGGTGGAGTTTGGGGCTTGTGCACACCAAAAATTATGTAGGTAACAATTAGATTTGAGTTTCTTGAACTGAAAAAGACCACTTTAGCATCAGACCAGTTGGAGCCCTCATGCCTGCTCGTCCCCTATCGCTGGTACCAAAGTACGAGGCTGTCTGTATAATGTAACGGCCACAGACCTAAGACGTGCGCCTCCTGAGCGATCTGCGCGATTCTATCGCATCTCGGCCTGGCACTGGGCGCCCGCGAGGCAGCCAGCGCGTAAAACGCGCCCTGCCCCGTCGGCAGCCCCCAGCGGCCTCCCCGACCTGGCGACGCGGCAGCCCTGATCAAATGACCCGGACCGGCGCCGCCAAAGGTCAGCCGACCGCGAGCTAATGGCGCGCACATCGCCCGGCCGTCGGCCCGCTCAGGCGGGCAGCGCCGGCTCAGCGGCTCCGGCGCCAGCTCAGCCGGCGCCGCCCGGCCGCCTGGCCGGCACACACTCCGGGGCGCGGCCAGAACCGCGCCAGCCGCGCCGTCCGCCGCCCGCCGTGCGCCCATCCCCTCCAGAGAGCGTCAGCGGAGGCGGCGCTCGGCGGCCGGCGGCTGGCGGTGTCGGCTTCCGCGGCCGCTCCCTGCTGGACCAGATGGCGCTAACGATGCCGCGTCAGGCCACGCGTCCGCAGCACGGCCGTGGGCGACGGCCTCGTCATCAGCCAAAACTCGGCGGCGCGCTTCGTGGGACGTGTCACCTTTGGCCCGACAGATTTGCAGATGCCGTTACTAGCTGGCGAGCATCACAAGAGGTGTCTCCATCGAGGGGCCATCATGAGAAGTCGTCTTCACCCACGGAACGTCTCTGGTGGTTTACATGGACCTTTACAGTAATCTTATTTTGTCTTCTGTCAGACCGTCAGCCACATAAATGTTGGAATTGGAATTGAATCTTAAAAGAAGCATCAACTCCGCAAAACTCATTGAGTGTGCCCGAAACCTGCCACTCAAATTGTCCCGTCCAGTTCAATGGATAATTTTGCCCCCGTCATTTCGCCAGACAGGACCTCGGAGGCTTTCGCATGCTATTCAAAGCTGCGGAAAACGGTCCCCGGCTCGAATTGGTCCTTGGCCAGTTGCCTGCTGACCTCTTCCATGTGAGGCGGACCAAACAATGCACCACTCGGGGCCTCGTGCGCAATGCCGCTAGATAACGTTCCCGGCATCCTTTCCCAGAGCCCCGAAGCATTGCGTGCCCCGCATATGACAAAGTAAAAAAGTTCGCCATCAAGTTGTCGTCACGTTTCTCTTCCACATCTATTAGCAAAATGCCGAAACAAGGATTGTGGTGTGTTGGAAAGCTCAATGTGCTTCATCCGCCAGGAAAAACGGTTTCAGCCGGCATGTTGTTTTGTCTTAAATTTGGGAGCCATGCCGGCCCCTATGACATGGAGGGACACATTCAATGGTTCTCCGGTAGATGTCATGTACACCAGTTATAGTTTGACTTTTCTTAGTATTAATCACGAGCTGACTAACATCAGCCACCAAAAGTCACGTCATACCGAATATGGAGCATTTGCACGTTGCCGCCTATATTCGACAGAACAGGAGTGGCGGGTTGTCGGGGATGGGCCGCACTCACTCCGGTTTCTGGAGAAACCGTACCTCTGGAGGCAGGTTGCTGTCTCCGCTTCTGTCAGCGCGCTTTATAAATGACTAGTGTATACAATTGTGTAAAACGAGCTGTTTCCTGCTTGCCGATGCTGTCAAATGCGCCAGGAAGTTGACCGTCAGTTAGATGAAGCTGCTCTCCGGACGACCTAAGTCATCTTCGCCGCTAGTCACGGTCACGTGGTCTCACTTGAAGCCAACCGAAAGGTAAGGCCTCGGCCCCAACTCTGCGACGCTGTCCGTGAGCCAGCGTATGGTTTACAGACGGCGTAGTGATTGAAAGTGTCGTGGTCACGTGCGACTTAGGTGTTATATTGGACGCCAGCCTCCGCTTCGGAGACCATGTGGATGCTTTTGCGTCCGAAGCCAACAGGACGGCAAGACAACTAGTGACGTCACTTAGGCTGGAAGATGGTGGGTCCCCTTATGAGTACATGGGTGAAACCAGTGTACGCTGAAATGGACGAAACATTTTGGTCTGGGTTCAAATAGATGATGACTTCCTCAAAACTTACATCAACTCCAAAACGAAACTATAAATTACATCGTATACTGGCCTTGTAAACACACCGAACTCTATGAACTTTGATTCCGTCAGCTTATAGAGCTAGGCGCGCATGTCGACTTTCTTCCATTCATCCATTTGGGGGAAGGATTTCCAATCTCAATAAAATTTGGCGGAAGGATTTCCAATCTCCGATCGAAAAACGCGTGACAGTTTCGTGACTCTCGGGTGTCCCACAGGACCGCAAGTTCTATGATCCGATGACTAACGACCCATCGACACGCCAAGTTCGAACGATCCAGGAGCCCGGCTAGCATTGATCTTGGCCCTGATTCCGGCCGCCTTCAAAGCCTCCAGGTAAGACGTCGTGCGCGAAATCGCGCGGTTCGCTGATGTCGGGAGGGGCGCCCTGTCGGAACCGGCACCTGCATCACGCCCGGCGAGCGCCCCGGAGCCACATTTCAGCCGGCGCCGACGGGGATTTGCATGGGCGTGCTGCGCGATCGACCGAGCACCGCTCTGTCACGGTCGCCGTCCGAGTCGGCCGGCGTCGACGGCTGGCCACTCACCGATGAGATCTATGACCACGATCGGGTCCTCGCCGTACTTCTTGTTGACGCGGTTCTGGCCGGGCTCGCTGAGCAGGAACGCCGCCACGTACGGCGTGAACATGGCCGTGTAGATGACCAGCAGCAGCACGATCCAATCCCAGACGGCCTTGAACGGCGAGTAGTGCAAGATCGTCCACTTGTGGATGCGCGGCGATTGCAGCTTGTACTCGGGCAGCACGTCGGCGCCCAGCGACAGCACCTGCGGCGGTCAAAGGTCGAGGTCAGCGCTGACGTGTTGGGGCAGCGCAGGGCAGAGGCGGTTCACTGCCAGCCGGCACGCAGCCGCGGCGCGTCCAGGCAAGTGATCCGCGTGGGGCTGACTCACGACCCCTCCCCCCCCCCCCTGGTGGTGGCGGAAAAGCGTCACGATCACACGGCAGTAACAGCTGGTGCTGGACCGGCGTACGTCAGCGCCGGTCCCGTTGCCGACGTCAGTGGTGACGGGTGGCGGGGTTCCCCCGCGGGTTGCCACGACTGCCAGGGCCGATGAAGAGTCACCATACGCACTTACAGCATGGATCGAACACACGGTGATCTGCAGACGACTGTTGTCATAACCCTGCCATGTTCTGCAATACACCTACACCTTAGCAAAGGCAAGCTCTGGCTCATCTCCGCGCGTTGCATGACAAGGCAACGTTTTACCGTCATTGCACACCTTTTAGTTCTTCTACATCAAAGGCCCCTTACTCTTATCCAATTTTCGACCTTATTGGATTAACAAGCACACCTCAAGTAAGGTTTCCTGAGTTCATTCTCTAGCGCTACGCCCACCCAACCGCAGCAGCTCGCGGTGAGCTCTGCAGTGGGTTAACCGTATGGTGCCCGGCACGTCCAAGGCTTCCCAAGACAAGATCTCCACCGGCACTTGGCTGTCAGAATATGGAATCAATTAAGTTTGTGTTCGTATGATTCAGAAGCCCACCAGTTACCTAACAGGAGTAAAAATGCGTCAGCAGTGTTGAAAGGTCAGTGGGAGATCCATCATGGAGTTTTTGTCTCCCGAATTGACCATGTATTATAGTGCACTGTTAAAATATATAAAGCTTGAGCTCGATCCCCACAAGCGCTTCTCAAGTCACATCATACTCAAACCAAGCCAGATGGGCTCGCCTGCATGAGATAGCCGTCACTCACTTCAAACATACACCGGAAGGCTAGCTTGGGGTATGAGCACAAAACTGAGGGCACCACCAGGGCGACGCCAACGCCATGCACAGTCCAGCATGCTCGGACCAAGTGGCGCTCCGCTCCGTCGTCGTTTGCTGGGGCACGACAGAGATAAACAGCCGGTGCTGTTTAACAGAGCCGCCGGACCGGCAGCCGAGCCATGCCAGTGACGTCACTGGAGCTCGGCGGAGTCCAGCCCCGACTGTCACTGGCGCACCTGCGGGCGGTGACTGACCGATGGCGACGCAGGCCCGCCAAGACCCGGCGCCCCGCCACACACTGGTGCCTGAGACGGGGCCTCTGCAGACCACCGCACCGCCGCTGGCCTCCGCCACGGCCCCGCAGGAGACCCGCGGCACTGCGCAGGGGGAAACATCCGCAGTGGGCACTGACAGTCGTCTCCTGTGCCTGTCAGTGCCTGCTGGTGTCGCCGAGCGAATAACCTGGCATATGCCCCGCCATTCACGACAGCGTCCGTGCGTGCTCGCGATGTCATACAGCTGAAGGACGGGGCGGGGGGGGGGGGGGACACAGTCGTGTCGCGTACATGGCCCGCGGTCGGCAGCCATGAGCCAGCAAAAGACACGAGATCAGGCGCACGGCAGGGACTGCCAGCGGCAGATCATGGGACGACGGGCGCACAATTCCCGCGATGCACGATCGCCGGCCGATGTCGAGTGTCGGTGGAGAAGGCTGTCGGTGCGGCCTGACGCGGAATGTCGCCGGCACTGTCGAGTGTCGGGGGAGAAGGCTGTCGGTGGGACCTGACGCGTAATGACCGACAGTGCCAGCGCTGGGGAGTCACCTGAGCAGCCTTCTCCCCGGCCACCTCCAGCATGGAGACCTGCGAGAGACGGCGGCGCTCGTCGGCCGACGGCCTCGGCTTCTCGGGCGAGCCGAGCGAGAACGAGCGCGGCGGCGGCGAGCGAGCTGGTGTCAGGCGGCGCACGCTGCTCCGCTGCCGGCTAGCCCGAGCCTCGCGCGCCGTGCGCACACCGACCGGCGGCAGCAGCAGCAGTCGCGGCGCGGCCGGCAGGCTGTCCGGCGCCGGCGCCGGCGCCGGCGGCGCGGCGCCGGCGTCCACCAGAATCGCCGGCGCCGCCAATCGGCCGTCACTGATGACGCTGACGGACGAGTGGCGGCGGCTGGGCATGGCGCAGCCCGCCGCCGCCGATGACACGCGTGGAGGCGCGACGCGCAGCGGCGGCGCCAGCGCGTCAGGCGCACGGGATGGCCGCATCAATCATCACACAGGCCGGCCGCCGCGCGCACCGCCGGCCCGGCGCCCACTGCGGCCCGTCCGTGAGCGGACCGGCGACGGCGGCGCGCGCCCTCGGCGCCGGCCAAACAGCGGCCGCGAGGGCCGCGCGGGCGCGAAACAGCGGCACCGGCCGGCGGCGCGCTGTACGGAGTGGATCACTCGGCGCCCGTGTTGGGCCACGTGCCGCCTGAGAAAATACACAGCCAGCCGCTGGCGTCGCCACTGTTTGGGACGGTGGCGGCCGTCGGGCGCTCACACCTCGGACACCACACCGCAACGGCGCCTGCGATTGCCAGCAGCCCGGTCCGACGGCGGCGGCGCGGCTGCCGTCCGCGCAGCTCGGCCGTCAGGCGGCACCTGAGCGGCCGGACGAGCTGAAGCCCCGCGCCCCCCAGCCACGCCCTGGCCTTGTTCATTATGGCGGCAGATCCTCTGGTCCCCCGGGGCGGCCGACGTCCGGTAAATAAAATAGGCGCCGGTCCGGTGCGGCGCGGTGCGCGGCGCGGCGACGCAGCCACTCCACGCCGCCCTCGGCTAATGGATATTAGCCGGCACCCGGACACCGCACGCACGACACCGGCGGGTCCGCCGGACGGACCCGCACGGGCGGATCCAGAGGGGCGTCCACTCTGTGGGAGCTGGCGCTCCTAAGCACGCGATGGAAGCAAATCTGTCTGCTAATCTTCTCTACGTCAAACTCGGATGATGAAGCCGTCATTTGGTACTATTGTAGCACCTCTTTGGATCATGGCTCTCCTGTCACCAAGTAATCATGACATTCTACGGACCGATAGACCCCCCCCCCTCCCCCCCTCCGATGTAAATCCTGGATCCGTCCCCGCCGATTCTTGACGCGTCGCGCGGTATGCGGTGGCCAAGCCCGGGCCACAGGCCTGCATAGTTCCAGAGTATCCGAATGTGCGGTGGCGGCTGGCCGCCATCAGCGCTGCGGCAGCTGGCGGGCATCAGCGCTGTGGCAGCTGGCGGGCATCAGCGCTGCGGCAGCTGGCGGGCATCAGCGCTGTGCCAGCTGGCGGGCATCAGCGCTGTGTCCGGTATTTCATGTGAGGCATCCGTAAAAATGCGGCCGTCATGCCATCTCATAGGCAGTAACGCCAGAAGATCATGCGGCAAATCTGACGCGCTGCTGGTGACGGTATATGATGGATGGCAGCCGTGTGTCGGTCACCACGATAGGCATTCAGGAAAACATTCAGACCAGTAGAGCAAATATTTTGTGATGACATGAGAGATAAGAGAAGATGATGACCAATCAACTCTCTTCATCCCGAAAAACCTCTCAGGGGGAGCAAAACGGAGAAGCGGGCAGGGTGAACTGCGAAGCAGCAAGTCAGGACGCAAAGTTTGGGGGAAAACGAAGAAACTGGAACACTTACAATGTTCTGGGTTGACATTGAGGTAAACAGATTTGATACAGGCATGTAGCCGAAATATCAATGCATGTATCTTCCATTCTCCTGGTTATTCTGCGAGGAATAATGCTATTAGTACGTCTTTCCTATTTGTATGACGTTCCTCGCAAATGCATTTAACGACTTATGAAAAACAGCTTCATCCTGTTACCGCAACTGCAGAACATAAAAGGCTGGAACTGCTCACATATACGGCAGATGAAGTCAGATGGCTATGATTGATGCCGACAGATGATGACGACAGATGATGACGACAGATGATGAAGTTTACGTCATTTCGGGATCATTCACTGCAACTACCCCGTTCCCGGCAGAGAAAACGCCAAATCATATGTTGAGCGACTAAACTCTCTCGAGCATTGGGTGTTCATCACCGTAATCTGTGCAACCGTCTCAGGTACTACAGTGCCCACCTCAGTGAAAACGAAGCTATGTTCAGTCGAGGACCGAACGACTCAACGAATGAAGAACAAACACATGGGTCTGGTTACACCACGCTCTGCCAATGAACCGATACCAGTGCAATCCACGCTCCTGTTGAGACATTCACGGTGACGTAATGATTATGGAGAACCACTCGATCCTTCCAAATAGGAGCTGCATCGTACTTTGAGCCGGAAGGCGCAGGGTCTCAGCAGCATAGATGGTACTCCGCTTGAAACGTGATTAAAAAGCCGTCCACTGTAAACGACGGAGCGTTTTCGTTTCCAGCACGCACAAACATTCCTGTAATGTCGCCTTTTTTAATAATACAGCCTTCACGTGCTGATGCCGCTAACGACCTCTCCCAGCACGCCACTGTGCAACGGCTGTTGTGTGGTGGCCGTGGTGACATAATCAGAGGAGCAACCAACGTCACAGTGGTGCGGCTGTTATGCGATGTCCGTGGCAACGCGACATAATTGTTCGCTATAACACGATCAAGGGTGCAGGCCTCACTGCCGTGTTGCGGCTGCCCTGCGACGATCATGTTACCGTCATCAAGTGAGCGCCATTTGTCACCCTTCTGCAGCTGCCGCGTGGCGGTCGTGATAACGCCGCCCAGCGAACAGCCTCTGGCCGCCAGCTGCCGCCATCTGCACCCATTCGACGATGGCAATAAACGGACTACAGCCCGTCGCCCATTCCACGGCCAAGGCGCAGCCAGCAGATGAGAGCCGTAGCCAGCGGTCGGAGCCCCCTCTCCTGAAGGACGCCCCGCCCGGTCCGCGGCGGCGGTGGCGGTGAGAGCCGCCAGGTGGCGCGTGCCGGCGCCTCCTGACACACCCGGCATCTCCGAATTAAACAGACAGCAGCGCGCCACGTAAACACTGCTGTCTCGTCCCAAACAGAGCAGCATCGCCGCAATGGCCACAGGAGGCGGTGCCCACAGCCGGGCCAGCGCATAGGTCACGATGTGTCCGGGGTCGGGTCAGAGCATAGGTCACGATGTGTCCAGGGTCGGGTCAGAGCACAGGTCTCGAGATGTCCGGGGTCGAGTCAGAGCATAGGTCAGGTGTCCGGGGTCGGGTCAGGGCACAGGTCCCGAGGTGTCCGGGGCCGGGTCAGAGCACAGGTCCCGAGGTGTCCTGGGCCGGGTCAGAGAACAGATCACGAGGTGCTCAGGACCGGGTCAGAGCACAGGTCACAAGGTGCTCAGGGCCGGGACAGCACACAGGTGCAGGACGCCTCATGTCACAGCATGATGTTCCGCATCCGATTGCTCCGCGGCCGTAGCAACAGCGTCCGCTTCATCAGGGTCACTGAGCCACGGTAGTTTCGGTACCAAGTGACGTGTTTCTCATGTCACGCACTGTTCATATTTATAGAATCGAGTGGAAACCTTAACTAAGTTAACCCATTGTCCGCTTTTTGTGTACCAAAAATGATTCCCCTTCCTTCGAAGGAGTAAATATCAGCCCGTCCCATCTTTGCGCAGAGTTCGCATCTATGTTGCTCTAGCATGCCAATACAGATGACACGCCAGACCGTCATACATTTAGTGTAGTCACCGAATTTCATGCCTTTGCAGAAGGTAAGACAGTAGTAATAGCCTTATTCGACCTAGAAAAGCCAGGAGAATGGAGAAATGGATGCGACGATATTTCGGCAACTTGCCTTTATCGAAACAAATATCAGTGGTGACTTTAAATTTGTTGCCGAAATATCGGTTTCCGAAATATCAACGCATCTATCTCTCCATTCTTCTGGTTTTTATAAGAGGAATAGTGCTGTTACTACTGTAACATCGATATGCATAATGCTCCTCGCAAATGTACTTAAAAAATGAACGTACCTTTGACAGAAGTATTTGCATATTCTTGACAGGTTTCAGTTACTCAAAAATGCGCGAAAAAGGAAATTACGTGGCAGTCATTAAAACAGCGTAAGTCGTTAACATCATAAAGGTACCGAAACTTTGTGGGTTTGGTCAATAGACACGGACAGTGCAGATTTGTTTCGGATCAACTATGTATTCGCGTTGGCAGATCCACAGGAACACCGTGAGAAACACAGCATCATCAAAAGCTGTTTTGTTTGAGCGTACGATATTGTCTTTGGTCCGTTTAGAAGGAACTAAGAAACCTCATCTCTTGTAAGTTGCAGTGACTGGAAGCAGCGTGCGTGGGGGGAATGCATGCTTGTTTGCGCCTAGAAATATACTTGGTGTGCGTCAGTTACTGTTTATGGTATATAATCATTCATAATAACATATCCTTCGTTCCTTTGGCTGCCATTCCTGAAAATTGTATACAACCCTTGCCTTTCACCGATTGTGGAAGTATGCTGTTATTTCATTTGCTGTTCATCGCTTGGTGGTGTGTCTCGTAACAGCTCAGAACGTTATCAGAGGCTGCAACAAGTCACCATTTTCCCCTCCGTGTATCAACGGATACTTAAAGCACACAGCTTCCGCACTAGAGCCAGTTTTGCAAGATTCCTTGTTGTTCCTCATCCCATCTGTTTTCATAATTTCATCCAGCGTTGGACGGCGATAGCAGGCCACAGCCAGCCAGCGGGCCTCAGGCCGCTGTTCCGCCCGTGCCCAGCCGGCGCGTCTCCCTCAGGCCGCTGCTCCGCCCGTGCCCCGCCGGCGCGTCTCCCTCAGGCCGCTGCTCCGCCCGTGCCCCGCCGGCGTGTCTCCCTCAGGCCGCTGCTCCGCCCGTGCCCCGCCGGCGCGTCTCTCACACCTACCTCCTTGCCGATGTTCTTCAATGGGTCGAGATCGGCGCTCACGTTCTCGTTCTCCACCTTGCCGGAGTCCTCGTCAATGCTGACCCGCACGCCGGCCCACTTCAGGGTCTCACGTCGCTGGCCGAGCCGGGCTCGGCCGCGGCTGTCCATCTGCACGGAGAGGCCGCGCGTGCGGCGCGGCTCCGCGCCCAGCCGCGGCCGGTCGGTCGGCGAGCCCGCCGCCGGCCGCGACCAGCGCTGGCCTGGGTGGCGCCAGTCGAAGGCGCAGGAGGCGCGCCGGCCCGGCTCCTCCGCCGCCTGGTCGTGCTCCTCTGAGATGCTGGTGCACGAGCTGCGAGCTCGGCCCGACGGTGCGGCGAACGGCTTGCGCCGCGAGCCGCCGGAGGAGTTCATGTCGGCGGCGGCCGGCGACGCCGCCAGGCGTCCAGCGGCGGCCAGCGCCAGCGGCCGCGGCAGTCGACGCGATCCGGTGCGGTTGTAACACTGTACAAGATGTCGGTGACGAACTGTTCTGGCTTGGTTCACTAGGACTCAATGTCTGGTGTCACTTTGAATACAGAGTGAGCGAAATGAATGGCTTGGTTTCACGACATCCTCTCAGGCTGCAAGTACTATCAATGTTATACCGCACACTCTTGGCTGCGGTCTCAAATTCCAGGATAAACTTTACATATGCCACCAAGTTCACCATATTCCAACAGGCATGCCATTTTCGGGTACTTTTGTGATTTAATACTAAATTTCAGAACTCACCAAAGAGGGTTTGCCTGCCAAAACATGGTGAACCTTGCGACTTGTTTGTTTTATTTCTTGGAGCTTGAGCCGGCAGCTAGACCATACGATATCATAATGATAAAGATGAATAGTCTCAGAGAGCCTTTGTCATCAATGAATAGGATATGCATACATATGTCAGATGAACTTAGGATATATATATATATATATATATATATATATATATATATATATATATAAATCATTTGAACTAAGTGTAAAAATTTATTCCGTCTTCTTCTCGCATGCATAACGCATTGAATGGCTCTATTTCCTCAAACGGACTCATAACCAAAGCAAATACATTTCGCAGCTAAGTAGATAGGTTGTGTTCCCAACGATGGCAATGGCGCAAACAGATATGTCCTTACATCCAACATAAATACCATTGGCCACAAAGCCTGGACCCATTTGCTCAGGGAATTCGTCTCTCTAAATAGTTGCATTCACACTTTACACGGTTCTGTTAGAAACAGGGTGCTTTACAACATTCAACACTTCTTGAAATGATCAGAAAGAAATTCGAGCGGGCGAAAGCTTTTCTAGATTATTAGATACATAATGTTATTAGATTATTAGATATATCATATTTCTCAGATATAGTAGTTTTGTCGTCCTCCTATTGGTCAAAAACTTGCTTCAAGTCTGTACTGTACTGTACTGTACTGTCTTACTGTACTGTACTGTAACTGTACATGTCTTAAACTTTACGGTACTGGTCAGGGCTATCACACCCAAATTATCATAGTAACGTGATTCCGAGATTCTATGGGATGTGAAAAGTGAAAAAATACAAACCATTACCTCCCCGGTTGCGTTCTGAAGTGGGAACAACAAACGTAATATCTAAGAGCTAATAAGGCTGAAAACCATGTGCTTTTATCCATCCATATCCCGTTCATTCCGAGTTAATTCCTATGGTTTTCTGTCCGCTCCCATTCTCAAAAAGACAGAGCAAAGAACGATTAGCAAGAGACCAGAACGACTTTGCTGCTTCTCAGACGCTACATGCGTCCACGTAATCGTGTGGGTCCTGGTTGTGGACGCAAATGCAACTTTGCCGAAATTATCATAGCGGCACATATCATAGCATACGGCACGATTATGCTACACATTTTGCCATTCAACTGAAAGTGAGCTGATTGGTCAGCGGTAACGGCTTCGAAATTGTCCGAAATTCGAAATCGTACCGGCTTTTGTCCGTAAATATATCCGTCATGGAATAATTCATTGATTTTCAAGCAACACGACCAAGCTAACCATATGTTATATCCATAGCATATATCACCATACCGTGTCATTTTTTGCCGAGGTCACGCAAACAGACAACCAAGTTGCGTTTCATTTGCACTTATCTCACACTACCATACAACTTTCAGGTAAGAAGCAAAGGCATTGGGCATCGTATCGAGCCTGACTTTTGGCATCGTAAGTTGGAGTTTTCATTCTGGCAATAACTGATCTTTGACATATCTAGATGTTCCGGTTGAACGACGCTATCAAGACAGCGTCGGCCCTTTTAACAAACCTGGGCAATATTGATATTAAAAGTCAACAATCATCAATTGTATCGGCATTCTCATATATATATATATATATATATATATATATATATATATATATATATATAACACCTGCTATATATCAGTTCAATTGATGACAGCAAAGCTAACCTAGAGCTGTGTGTTGTTCACATGGCCGTCGCTCCCTTGATGGCATCGTTTAACGAGCACCTTCTGGCATATCGAAGGTCGATTATTGTCATAATAGCTCCCAGCTTGTATTAATGCAAGAAGGAAGCCTCCATATCGACCGCTTGTTACTGCGCAAACAACTGAAAGCGACATTCTCATCATCGTAGTTTTATTTAGTTATGATAATTTTGGATTTGCGTTGCCTACATACCTTGATAACTGGGATAAAAAGAGCACATACACGTGCTTTTCTGTATATCAGTTAGAAACAATGTCTCCGAATTAGCACGAAGATGTGAGGAAGGACAGGTACACACTTATGTCCTCAAATTCATATATGTGTTTACTTTGGATTTGCGGGCCTTTAAAATTAAACAAATATGCATACATAAACAAAGGTACAAGCGTAATATACAGCCCGCGGATACACACGCGGAGCCCGTGAGCTTCCCATCCATGCCAGTAAAGGGTTCGGCCTGCCGCCGCTGGACACCACCACTGCCGAGCGGGAGACTTCGCTGTCGCTTGCCGCCACTACCAACGGTCCGCTCCAGTCCGAGCCGACAGCGTCGCGTCACGTCACAGCGTCCGCTGGCCGCGTCACTGGCGTCACGGCGGCGAGATCGATCGGGATTGACCGGGCGCGGCCGAGGCCGCCGGCCGTGTGGCGGCGCCGGCCCGGGCGTCGGCCGCCGCCGGCGCCGCACGCAGACCCATTGATTGGCGGCCGATATCGTGACGCCGGCTGGCGCCGCGGCCGGTCGGCACCACCGCCCACAGGTGCCGCCGGACACACCGGTGGTGGCCTGCCGCCCCGGACGCAGCGGCAGCCGCTCACACGAGAACAGCGCGTGCGTGCCGGCGGCTTTCCGCCCGCGCCGCCGGCGGCGTCACGCCGACGCCGTCCCAGCGAGCGGGGCACACCCGGCGGCGGGTGCGTACCTGATACCACTGATACCGCCGTGGTCCCGTGGTCACGGACGGTACGGCACGCGACGGCGCGTGGCGACGCAGCTGGATTCCAGCCCGACTCAAGCCGAACTGAGACCGAACTCCAGCTGGCCGAGCGGCGCTCCTGGCTTGGAATGACGCCAGGCGCCTGCGGAGCTCCACGCCGCAGCACCAGCTGCTAGTTGAATAGGAAATTTGAATACAATGCGACCTTTACGGTGGAAAATGTTGAACAACCGGCTGTTTATAGGAGTTCCCCAAACACCACACACCGTGTTTCTCAGAGGACTAGTACATGGGGGCCAAACATCTGCTAAACGGCCTCGCGCGTGCCGCCAAAGGTGTGCACTCCAGCCAGCTGGCCTATACACAGGGGTGAGAAAAGTGCCTTGTCTGCTACCAAAGAATTTGGAACCATCTTAATTGTCACCTGGAGCCGAACCTTTCAGAAATTGTTTCAATATAACTCTAATTGCAATGAACCACAAAACAACAAATTTAATGCAATGCGGCGTAACCATCAAACATTTGTGGTGTCGGGAGTTCACCTGCACCTAAAAATCATTTGCTGGCCATCAAGCTCTGAATGATCGTTGAGGCTTGACTAATAAAATGATCAGATAAAGGCATGCTCAACATAGCCGGCTTAGAGGTGTGGTAGTTTCCTATTCAGATAGAGGGAGAGGATTTTGCCTCCTAACCATGGATGTAGTTTCCTATTTTTGGTTTTCGTTTTTTAATTATTATTTTACCTTGGTCATAATTTCTAGAGTTCAGCCCCCAACAAATTTTGAAAAACTACACCCCTGCCCCCAAGTGTAGAAACAAAATGCATCAACTCTGTGGAGAAAGCTGTTTTGAGTGCATTTTGGAGGAAGGCTCAGACATTTTTCCTTGCCCACCACCCTCCATCCCTAAACATTACGTACTTTGCAAAACTGCATCCCTGTAGCCATATATTTATCGACAACATAGTTCTACCAGCACCTGACGACGATATCATTTTTGGCTTTGTGACGTCATCGTACAATGAGCGGAATACACAGTCGACCTTCACAATCTTCGCAAAATCATTACGTGTGCAGAATTCACGCTTCCTAACATGATCTCCATGATTTAGAGCAAAACTCATGCAATATTTGTATCGACAAATGCAAACGACATTTTTGAACATCTCTTCCACCTTCATTCAACTTTATATCCAATATGGCGAAAATGAAAAGGGTTTTATCTCACGTCTGTCCACAGATTAGTACGCTAAGCCAGAGGTGCAACGAGCAGTGCGAGAGGCGTAGAACAGTGATGCTCAGTCTCTTAACTCAAAGCCGCTGTAACTATCAGCAGCAGAAAACCCCGGATGAATCTTTGAAACGTGTCGCCCGATCGTCCTCCGTTTACCTCTCGAGCTACAGCATAGGTATCCGCAAACAACAATCCTCCTGGATCGCCATGGCCTTTTAACGCCCTTACAATAAACAGCTGACAATTAGTTACGCTCCTCAAGCCAGTCAGCTTCTCACGACACCACCACAACCAACAGCAGCCAACGGCTATGCACTGAACCCAACGCGGCGCGGCGGGCGTTCGAGCCCATCTGTCTCAAATGACACGGCGCTTTAAAACGTTGCGCAATAAACTGATCACGTTCGTCGCAAGATGCTGCGGCTAGCTACAATCCTTACCAGTAGTAATACACCTAGTTATTTGGTGTTTTATGCTGCTAAGTATGTG